GGGATAAAGTGATCAAAAGCACCTGTCTGTAAATCTGTCAGTGAAATTATAACCGTAATGGAACCATTACTCACACACTGGTGTTCTGTTTTTGACAAAATCTAATTTGAGAAAAAGGCAGAAAATAATCAGATCAGATTATTTACAGTGATGCATTTTTTAATATCCATAAGGCCATAAAATACACCGTATAACAGGCGCTGTTTCAAGTTACTTTTAATTCAACTACATGTGTTTATTTATTTGTTTATTCAGCGCCTTGAGGCAACTGTGGTTGGGATTTGGTGCTTAAAAAAACTGAACCAAAATGACTTGAATTGCATATTGTATACAACTTTTCTACTATTTTATATATTAAGAAAAAAAAATGGGCAAAATGACCTACTGCTCGACACCAAAGTGTTTTTTCTTGTCCGGTCAGCACCTATGTTTTGTGGGATTTATTTTCAAATATTTATCTGTAAATCCTGTTTTGTGGATTGTAGTTGTTTGCAGTTCAATGTGACATTGGACGTGTTATGCCAAGCGGCCTGGCTGTGGCATTCTGATGCGCAATCAAGTAATGAATCAGTATTTTATTACCACTGCTCTCGAAGGACTACGGCACCTCCCTCTCTCACGGACTGATTATGAACCCTTCTTATAACATTTGTTATAAATAGATGCTAAATGTGGAAAACCTGATTGAAGAACAAGCTCACACCTACAGTAAGCAGAAGCTGAATTACTGTATAAGTGGACAAATCAGTGTTTTACAAAACAGGAAAAGCCGTATCTTTTTTCTGGGTTTACTGGCAATCAGTTTCAACCGTGGTTATAAAAAGTAAATTTTAAAATGCTAACAGTTATTTTCTGTAACCCCAATCTGCAATACCAATTTATAGTTGCCACAGGTAGAACCTTTTTCTTGCATTGAAACTTTCTGAAGAACAAAGATCTCTGGTAACTTTGTGCATTTTAAACAAAAAAGTGAGAAGCAAACAAAGAAGTTGTATGTAACTGCAAGAAATCAACTTTTCAGCTATTCCCATGGTAAACGATAGAGAAAATTAAAAGCATGATATTTTTATAAACATACTTAGTTATACACAAGTAGACAGTACTTACCAGTTGGACAGTGACAAATGAAGTCATTTATCAGATCCATACATGAACCTCCATTTAGACAAGGCTGCGACCAGCAATCATTTACATTTTCAGAGCAGATCCTTCCTGCAGGGGTTTATTCAATATTACAGGACAAAACAAAACACTTTAAATATGTCTCTACCACAGATGTGACTGTCAGCCTGCCAGCTTAACAATTATTCCAGCAAAGTCCAACATGTGACTCATATTTGCAACCAGAACAACAATCAGAACATATGCAGTACAAATTTCTGCTTATTGTCCTCGAATCACATCAATAAACCAGCACCTGGTTTTATTTCATGAGGCAGCTGATTACTTCTGATTCTAGCGGCTCAAAATGTGATTGAATGATTATGTGTTCAGCATGTTGCTGCTTGCGTGTATGCATAAATGCCGTAGCCCTGGTTTTAGTATCCTCAGGGCAAGAGTTAGGAACGGAATTGATTAAAGATTTTTACTGACAAATTTAAAGCTCCGCCAGGTCTGGCCTCTGGCAATATTTCAACCCTCTTAGTTCTCGGTGAGCCAGAGAGCTCAGAGAACTAACAGCCAGACATCCTCAGGCACTGCTCGTCTATCTGCACGGCTGTCTATACCAAAGGTAATTGTACTTTCACCATCATGACCCCATACACTGGTAGGCACTCCCTTAATCATGTAGTGTAAGGTACTCAGATAATTAAAGCATCTGGTGACTGTACCTGCACATACATTCTCTACTAGATATTGTATACCCAGTTCAATAGTAAAGCAGCCACCCCCATTAGCTTAACTAACTGATTTTACTTTAATTCACCACTGTTTACACATTCACATCACTTGTAAATCAGGTTGGTACTGAATAAGTAATAGGTGAAGTAGTTTTAAAATTTTAAATATAAAAACCCACCAGGTGATTGTTTATCTCTTTATGCAAATAATTCAGGGACCACAGTGATGTATACTCTGAGAGCTGTTAGAGTGTTCAGATTATAAAACCACTGATGCAATATTCTTAATCTCTTGTATTGCTCTTTAGATACAGGTGATCCAACCGAATGTCAAACTAGCAAATGATGCAGTGAACGACGGTCAAGTTAAGGTTGATGTTTTCACACAGGAGTTTAGCTGCTCCTCTCTATTGACCTACCACAGCAGCTGCACCATCACTTGCAAAGCCAATAAGCCATGCACGTAGCATTTCTTCAGAGGCCCCTTAACAGCAAGGGTTTCTAACAGCGGTATATGAGACAGCAGCCCCAGTCCACAAGTGCAATTCAACAACTTGAAATGAGAAGCTGCAAATCTCTCCTTTGTAGGGAATTCTGATGTAGGTGATCAGGC